TGGCTCCCAGGTCAGTCCACTTCAACGATTTTCTTGAGGATTGTGAGTTCTTGCTGTGGTTCCCTGTGGTGTGGGTTCCCCCCCGCAGCCCTCCCTCGAAGATGGTGATCATGATTCCCGTCCGCAGGCTCCTCCCGTAGCACATGCTCGGGCTGACTTCGACCGAAAACTGAGCAAAGAATGACAACGGTCGATACAAACCTCGAAATAACGAAAAAACATCAAGCTAAACACGCTCTTGAAACACATAAAAGCAAATAACATGTGGTACGTAAGGGCAAAACAGCATAAGAGCAGTGGTGCTGCCAACAGTCACATTCGGAATACCAGCATGCAAGAAGCACATCATCGTCATTGTCCGCACCATCATCGCCATCATTCTCATTTGTGTGGGGAGGGGGGGCGGGGCTTGCGCGATTTTGCGCGAGAGTTCCAAGAGAACGCCGGCAGTTACGAGAATGATGATGCGGACGAGCGCCATCCCCGTAACTGCTTGATCGGATGAGAGGCCTGGCCTGGCTGCTGTGAGAAAGGGGGCGGGGTACATACGCTGGGGGGGAAAGGGTTGTGGGGGGGCACTGACGCGGGACCACACATACATGCATGCATGCATGCATACATACATACATATACACACATACATGTATATGTCGTGTGTGTATACATACAAATATCGAGCGAGAGAGAGAGAGGGGCAGAGAGAGAGCCTGGAAGGGTCGACAGGTCCTCTCCTGGTACGTGGGAAAGCACCCCTGCAGACTAGTCCTTGCCCCGAAAACCCCCAAACAATGAGGGCGGCCCTTGGGGCGGGGGGTCGCTGCCGCTTCCTGTTCTCTTGTGAAAGAATGTGAGCGAGCGAGAGAGAGATAGGGACAACGAGATTTGGATGCATCTGTGTGTGTGTGTGTCCTGGGACTTCTTCGCTTGTGCTGGTGGTGACGGATCCAGCAGGGCTTCGTCAAAGCGAAGTTCTGCACTTCGCTGACCTTCCGGTGTCGAATCATTTCACTACATTACTTATAGTTCGTCATATGCTGAGTGGGCTTAGGTGGCCCCGACACAGCCAAGACTTGCTTGTGATCTCAGCTTGTTGGTTGAATGTAGGTTGTCACGTTCTGCATTCTGGTCGTTCTGACGCTTCTTCTGGATGGGCGATCCAACTGGCCGCAGCCTCGAGTTTCGGAGTTGGGCTTGCAACGAGGTCCTTGTGATTGTCATGCCGACAAAGCTCTTGATATTGCCCAAGCATTATATCACACAGTGTACGTATGGAGGAGAGGAGGAAAAGCACCAAGAGTAGTTGTAGTTGGTGGTCGTCGTCGTTGTCGCTGTGCCGTAGCATTACCAGACTAGCAAACATGCAGGCCGATAGGTGGTTGAATGGATGGCTGCATCGCTGAATCTTCATTGCGACACTTCTACCTGTAGATGCAGCTGTTCACGAAAGACATTGAGCAAAGACTGGGGGCATAGAACACCAAACTCCTCTTTCCCTTTCGGGTTCAAGTGCTTCAAATCTGTACTCTGAGGAAGGAATTGTTCGTTGCTCTGTCGCTTCATGAGTTCATGCTCCATCGTGGTGATAGATGACGTGAGCCTCGAACGACTCGAAGAAGAAGCCACAGACTGCGGCGAAGGTTCAAAGGCTACATCCTGTGTTGCATGTATGCCTTCCTTTCGGTGAGGAGCCCAGATCACAAGCCCTTGTGTGAGGGGACAGGATGTCTGAATCATGCTGAGAAACGAAGCTCAAAGGCTCGGACATAGGCGCAAGTGTGCAAGAACAGTCATGAAGTTTTGGTGATAAAGGTGGTTTGAGATTTGCCACCCTTCCGTGCCGTGCAGTGGTCACCCAAGCTTTGTCATTTCCTGTTGGCTGCTGTGCAACACGGTGTGTTTGCGATGTCGCGTGGTCCATGCAAGGTTCTATACTGGTACGTTCCACAGTTCATGCAGCACAAGGCATGGACAGGCACCGGGCATTCCAAACCTGTGTGGACTGGCAAGCTGGGGACTGCCTTGTGAAGTTCGTAACAAGGACCGTCTGTCGGCAGTCCTTCTGGACTGCATCTTGCATGATAGCAAAATATAATATACTATATACTTGTAGCAATGATACAATCACATCATTGTCTCTCCATGACACTGTGTTGTTGGCACCCGTGGAGTGCACATGCAGCTTGAGCGATCCCAGCACCAAGCGGTACGCCATCGGACAGCCTGCATCTGGCGCTGTCGCACTCCTCCTGGACCAGACTGAACCTTTGCAACCGACACGGTGTCCCGGTTGCTACATGCAGCAACTTGACGTGCCAGGCAATCCAGGGTGATGAAGCCGACGGCAAATTGCCCACAAAGCAAAGAGCGATGAGTTTGGGCCTTCTGGTGCAATGGGGGCAGGATCTAGACCTGCTAATATCCATCTACAGTTCTTTACGTCCAACCCTGTTTTTGTTCACGGAGAAGTCATGCTTCCATAGCACTTCAACACCCTGACCAGGCCCTTACCCTAAACTAGCTTCATCCAAAAGCTGCGCGCTCTGACCCTTTTCTGTCGTCCTTTGTGCTGGGCACCCGTAATGTATAGTGATAGTGGCTGGAAATAGAGAGCGAAGCTCTGAGCATCAATTCAATACCTCGTCGTATCTCATGGTTTGACTTTCTGTGTACTCTCATCACATCTCGCTCCCGATGCTGATCGTGGTTGTTGCTTCTGTTCATTGCTTGTTTGGTCGTGGTCGTCATCGTCACGGTTATATTCAATTCCAGTTTGCGGTGCAAGCAGGCCTCCCGCCACAACATTAGTCTCCCTGATCATGAGCTTTTGGGAAGTAATGCAAGGGTTAAACACAGAAATGCTGCGTTGACTTGGCCGGAGACCTGAAGCTCGAGATGGAGCATCCTGGACAGCTGGCCCGAAGAAGTGCCACTGTCAAATTCACCTGCCGGAAGTCGGAACTCTAATCTATTGCTTGCAAAACCGCTCCAAACAGGCAGCATTTGGCATTCCACGGAAAGTTTTGCTGCCAGAGGAAGTTTTATCGAGACATTGAGAGGCCAGACCATTAATTGTGCAGGGAATGCTCTTTTCTTGCGGAGTTGACGTTGAGGTTGGGGTGATTCCAGTACGGTGGGAAGGTGAGCTGCGGATACAGAGCCAGTGGCACATGGATATGGCTTCGTCCCGGGATTTAGTGAGGGCCATGCGCGCCACAAGCCCAGTGAAGCCTCACACCCTACTAAAGCCAACCCCCCCAGAGCCCAAAAACAATGTCCGAGTGCTAGCACCGAAACCCTTACGATTTAGATCAGGTTCAGTTCAAGAATTTTAAAATCGCCATGGCGATGAAGTCGCCGAAGAAGCCTCGACCGAAGCGCCTAGTGTGGATTTTCTGGAAGCTTGTCCAGAAGAGTTCTCCCGGCTTGGTGCAGAGTTCACCACTAGGGATTGGTGGTTCTTGCGATTTGTTTACTTTCGGTGATTGTTGCTTTAATTCAAGCAAAATCTTGTCGAAGCAGTCTTTCGAGGCCGAAACCGACTCCCGGAATTCAGCTGCCCGAATACCTCGTGCCCTGCATACGGAACGCGCGAGCATGTCTAAGTGGCTTGGAATACTGAAGCTGTGAGCCCGTTGGGCCAAGTGATTCTACAGTTGTTGTTGCTGATGATGATGCTGGACGATGATGAAGATGAGGGCGCTGATGGTGATGGTCGTGGAAGCGGTAATTAGTGGTGGTGGCAATGATGATCATGCTCTCTCAGGATCGGGCCCATGATCTCCGTGGTAATGGCACCAATCTTACTCCATGCCGCTTCGCAAGAGCTCTCCCTGTCAACCGATGCTTCTTGGCCAGCCTGTCGGCGATGTCTGCGTCCAACGAATCATTTAGTCCCTCAGTGTTCTGCAATATTCGTGGCCACAGTCATTCTGACAGTTCAACCAAGGGGATTCCTGGGCGAAAGATAGAGAGATTTGTTGTCAGCTAGTCATCTGCCGTGTTGAAGTGACGACTGCATCGAATCCTCGCGGGTCGCCCCTACACCCCCTTAAACCCGAAACCCTTGGCAGGCAAGGGGCTGATACCATGGGGCGAGAGGAGGGAGGGGGTGGGGGGTGATGTAGACTTGCGGGCTATTTGACACAGCTCTGCCTTCAACAGCTCCAGAAACATCACGAACACGCACGTCAAATAGACACTGAAATTTCGCAGTCCACATTGTCCTATAACAACAATGCCACATGCTCAGGGTACTGAGGGCTCTGAGGGTGCGCAGGGCATTGAGGGCGTGGCCCGCCCAAACGTGCCTCGAAACTCTCGGGACCTGGCATGATCCAATATATAGTCTCGATTAGTAAGTAATTTTCTTCCTCAGAGTTCTAGCTTGTACGTGTATGATTTCTACCCCCAAACCCCAATCTGATTATCAATCTCACGGCCCCTACCACCCTGGTCACGCGTGCCACATAGATGCAGCATGTTTCACTCCTACTCTCTTTTCCGGAGCAAACCCTACACCGACCTTGACCTCAACCCTGAAATCGCAACTGTACCACCAGAAACTGAAAGCTGCCCGGCCCTGCCTACCCGGTTGAAGGGGTCTGTTTAGGCGGGTCCTGGGCCTGGGGGATTTGATTTAGGCTCGGGGCTTCAAATTTTAAGGGTGTACGGCTTTTCGGGTATTTTGAGCTCTGGGCATTGGGGCTTGAGGGCATACTGACACCCTGCAGGAGTTTAGGCGTTAGGGAAAAGGTCTTGCTGGGGAGCCTCGCTCTGTAGTTTTTTACTGGCAGTGAGTCGGCCTCATTATCACGAGGTGGTAGAGGTGCTGGTGGGCCCCCACATTACTGTCTCCTCCTCCTGGTTCCCCCCTTCTCCGTGTTATTTGCTGTGGGCAGAGGTGGGCTGCGGCTTCCGTCCTCTCCTCACACGTCGTGGTGGTAGTAGAAATCGGCCGGCATTCTGGTCCTTCCGGCTCGCGAAATCCTGTGCGCCAGCCTACACTTGGGCTTTAAAAGCCCCAAACCGTGGAGGGATCCTAGAGGCCGGGAGAACTCGACCCTCAAGCCCTGGAGAAGACACAAGCTGCGCTCGTGCTGACCGAATTCCAAGGAGCACATGTTTGCCACTGCAGCGCTCCTGTTGATGATTGCAAGCCTATCCGTAATCGGATGCGTGTGACTCTTCGGCAAAGTCAGGGAGTTTATCTTCAGGCCCCCGACACTCAAATCGTGGTCTCTCCCGCATAGACGTAGCAACAATCAGCATGTGCAAGTCAAGATTTGGGCAGCGTTGGTTTGGTATGAGAAGAATGGAATAAAGGGCAGGCGATCTGCTTAAGTGGATCAACCGCGTTTGGTAGTCAAGCGTCTCATCAGAACCTCGTCACAGGGTTTTAGACTCGTCAGTTCATCACACTACCCTGTGTGCAGAGATTGGAGAATCTTTGCAGCAGTCAGGCAGGTCTTGTTGTTTGACCGAGTACCGTGCGTATTTGAGACGTAACTGGGACAGCACTGCGTGCGCGAGAAGTTGCCGGTAGATGTCGCTACACTTGGGCTAAGCATTCTGGGTATATCCGCCGGTTCATTCGCAAGCATTCAGCGTCCAGGAGTCAGGAGGGCTTTGTGTTAATGCCTGAGTCGTCTTTGAGATCCCCGTCATGAAAATGCCTACTGCATCACAAGCGTCCGCACAGCGATTACCAGTGGCGAAAGCATGTCGGTCGGGTACCAAAGTGCTCCTTCCGGAGGCTTGAGGAGACCTGCCAGTGCCCGCGCAACTTCCCTCTCCTGGTTTTGGTTGCGCAAATCAGCACTTTGGCCACCCTGCTTGCAGCTGGTCTAGGGAAGCCGGTAGATGTGTAGCCGCTCCAAGCTCTGTGGCGAGTCTGATACCGTGAGAACATGGCTTGCATGGACCCTAGGGGGGTTGGATTGGTTCTCCGGGTATCCAGTCATACATGTTCCAGATGCCGAGTTGGCATCAGCGTCGGGTGAACCCGCAGAATTTTTAGTCTGAGGTTTTGGCAGTGGTCATTTGGCCATCCCTGTTCGGGACCAGCTTGCCGAAGCCGACCCTGGTCTTGTCCTAGCAGCGGAAGGGTCGAGTCAACAAGTGCATGGATTCTGCACTGAAAGACGGATGCGGCAATAAAATGCTTTTATGGACGTGCGACTTGGGTTTTGGCCGGAGATAAGGAATGAGGTCGAGGAGTGGCTGTCAAAGCGTTGGCAGAACGTCCTACGAGCAAGGGGCATAGCTGACCCCGTAGTCGCCACGTTGCTTGGCTGACAGAAGCCTTTGGTGATGGGCGGGCTGTCGTCACTCTGGATTTTGCCTTCACATGTGGTTGACGCTGTCCATGCATGGTCATCCAGATCCAGGCAAGCTGCCCAAGCTTCTGGAAATGTTGAAGCAGATGTTGCCTCTGCTAACCTCCGCGGTGCAGCCCCCCGCCGGCGCTGGTTAACGACAAAAGCACGGTTCACTCGTCGATAGTTGTTACGTGCATCGCAGGAGATCAGAGTGCCCTAGGGCTCCTTAGAAAATGCTCCTTACCTGGATGATGTTTGGGTTTGGGTATACGGCACATATTGAATGGCAGGCTGGAAGAGACCGTGCAGAAGAGTACGAATGCATTGACATCACATGGTAGCTTGTTATCCTTCAGGCTCTTAGACGGCGGAATGTTACTCCTTTGCAGCCCTGCTTCGCTAAGGTAGAGACTCCGGAGCCCTCCACCCCTCTTCCAGCTCCAGTGGGCTGGCTCTCTGCTGGCGAAGGGTACTGCGAAGATGGCAAGTCCCACCAAGAGCTCCGCGGCATTCGGCTTGCGTTTCTCATTTTTCCAGAATTTGAAGGCATGTTCCTACCCTGGTAGTCGTAGCCTGAAAGAAAGAATTTGAATTCGGGGATTTTGAGGGTGGATTTCAGTGTCGTTGGTGTGCAGCACAACGATGCATCACATGGCCACTGCATCATAACGGAAAACCTCTTGGCGCCATTAGGTTCAACTCCTTGCACGCCATCGGGAAGACTCTTCAGGACTTTTTTGCAGTTCGTGGACCGGAAAGCCTTCAAGACAGTCGTAGATGTTGCTATGACTGCGTAGCCGTGAAGGAACATGCCGGCCCCAGAAAAAAAGCGCGAGGAGGTCGAGATCGCTTAGCTAAGCTTAGCTGGTGGGGTTGTGGGATCTTGTAGGCTGCTGTAGGCTGCAGGCGCTTCGTGAGAACAGTTTTTCAAGTGACCGACCAGCTGACCAGTGTTTCTTGAGGGTCTTTTGAGCAGTCTGGTCTGGAAAGCCTGCAAGCCCGGTCCATGATATGGCAGTAGGATTTCTCTTCCTTCCCGTTACGTTGAGATGCAGGACATGAACCCAAAGCGTACCACACCCCCACAAGTGTACCTAACAAATTCCCGTATAACTTGGGTGCAAACCAGGAAAGCTTCCGGTAGCCGCCCGCTCACAGCATCTCGTCCGATTCTTCGAGCATGTTGTCTCACTATCAAAGAGCTTCGAAAAGAACCTTCGGTCGCTCGTGACAGAAAGACCGACTTTCAGACTCCGTCCAGGAATGCGCTGACGTGGCCATGTCGGACCCGGAGAGTGTTGCTTTAGACTTCTCCACTGCTGACGGTGGCTGCGATATACGGCTGCACATCTAACGATGAGAGCCAGTTAAGGTTAGAACACCCTTTGAGCAGAGCGACGAGCCGGCTGTATTCGGGCAACATGTGTGTTCGCTTTCGTGTGTTACCAGTGCATTTGCCAGCAGATTAAGCGAGCAAGCTTCAGCTGGAACGTGTAATGACGCATGCAGACTGGACTTCACCGTGGTCTTGGTCCATGTAGGGCTGTATTACTGTTGGCCACACATTTGCCGGAAGCACGTGCAGGCTGCGTAGAGCATCACGTTCCTCAGGAACTGATGATTAATTGCGTGCCTTTCTGTATATTTCTGTGCGGATGGTGTGTGCTCTTCCACTCATGCCGAGAACAACTCTTCTCAAAGACATGCACAAACGCACGGACAGCTGGACAAGCTGATGATTGCTCGCCTGTGTCCAGGCCTGCATATACATGCATATGTGCTTTCAGATTATCAACATACTTTCACAAGTCCAGACTTTGTGTATGTGTATAGAATGAAGAAAAACTATACACACACCCACACGCACGTACATGTATATGTATCTATATATACATATATTAATGTGTGTGTTATGTGTGTGTATGTGTAAACATATAATGTCTCTCCACCTCTGGATGTGTCTACGTACATACACAGATGTACATATGTATGTGTACGCAGACACACAAACAAACAAACAAACAAACACACACACATATGTAATAATAAGTATAATTATTGTGTTTTTTGAAACAACTATATATATATATGTATACATATGTGGATGTGTGTGTGTATGCATGCGCACACACAGACACGGTAAGCAGAAAAACACACACACACAAGGCGAAAGGCACACCGCTAAAAGCACCAACACGTCCGAGAAGCCGCCATGTCTACCCGCATGTACGCATATACTTTCGTATATATGTATTACTGTATACAGATATCAGTGTCTACGTGTGAGTGTGTATATATATATATGATACCATATGTGTATATATATATATGTGTGTGTATACTGTATATATGTATGTACATATGTATATGAATATGAATATGAATGCTTGCACCTGGTATACAGGTACATGTACATCCGCCAACCCCCACACACACATGCACATACGTATAATATTTGTTGTGTATGTGTATATATATATATATGTATATGTATATAAGCTTACATATACAGCGTATGTCTATCTATATATGTATGTATGTACGTATGTATGTATGCATGTTTGTAGATCGTAGAGGTACATATCTGTGTGGGCACGCACATGTGCCTGTGCGCGTGTTCATCCGCATCTCTTGCTCTGGAACTCCGCCTTTCTTGCATGCTGAATGCTCAAGCACTGGCAGATACTGGTTGGCTGCCCAGGTTTCCGGCCGGCTCGCTCTTCCAATCCGTTCCTGGCTTCGACTGGTGGGGCTGGGGGGCTGGAGAGTCAGCTCCACGAGGTTCGGGGACCAGGCCTGTGAAAACACGGCTCCCTTCAAGATTGCAGAAATCTTGTAGGCTTTGTTCAAGCCCGCATGGCTTACCATTGTGTCCCGACAGGAAGCACGATTCTGCGACTCACTGCTTCGTGCCGCAGCAGAAACTTGGCCTTGCAGGGGCTCTCTTGTGGAGGCAGACTCTCTCGGAAAGGCACTCGATCAAGATCCCATATCCCTGATCGTCCTCGTTCAGCAGTGTAGTGAGTTCCTTGAGGAGAGCACCTCCAATGCGACCAGTGCGCGAAGTGTCTGCCGCACTTCACCCCAACTACAAGGCGTTGATTCAAGAGCCGCCTGCTTGCAGTCTCTGCAAAGCCAGCGTCAAACGCCAGAAAAGATCCATGATATATTTACTTTATGCCTTCCATGTCTACCTGTTGTGTACTGTGCTTGTAGATTAGCGAATGATTTTCCTCGGGCGATGGACTTAGGACTTTAACTTGAAGCGCTTGAGTAGGGGCAAGCGATGACACATTTTCGGAAAGCAGTCGGGAAACCTCGCGACTGGATCTCAGTTCTCACACCTCTCGACTCAATCGAAAACGCTCAGACGCGGTTCGTCAATGCAAACACGCACACTGCAGCGCATGGTCCCATCTCGATCCGTCTTCTCTGCTTCTTCTTCTCGGGCACAGCATACGCAGACTCTCTCAGGGAGGATCTGATGTCTGTATTTCAGGATGTCTCGGTTCCATGTTCCAAGGTATCCGTTTCAGCCCGTGCGCAACGAGCGGGGGGACTTCGCAGCTTTGCCCAAATTATGTTGATGTCTTACTTTCCGGAGGCGCATACGGCAGCAAGAAGGCCGAAGCCAGACGACTAGAGATCCAATGCCATGCAACCATCCAGACACAACTCAAGCATGTCACGAGCCGGAAGCAGTGGGTCGCGTCGTGTCGGAGTGCTGCCTTTTGTCCATCGTCAGCCTTGTGCGTAATTCACGGGATGGCTCGAAGCAGGATGTCCTCCAACGTTGCGGGCAGCAGGTGAACATCATCCTTGTCCGCTCGCCTTTCAGAACAAAGCGGCAGGAGCGTCCTGGGCCAGAAGAGTGATGAATAGGGTAGCAGTACAAGAAATAACCTTCGCGCCTATGACCTTGTTCCTTGCATAATTCGCACCATTGGCCCTACGAGTGCCTGCAAGGCCTCTTCTGCGGCATCATGGGGCGACTCCTACAGTCGGCTGTAGGGGGGCTCTCATGTCCAAGGAAGCTGTTTCAGCAGTTCAAGAACGAGATTCTGTTTATGGGCATCAGCAGTTGGGAGGACAGGTTGGTGCAAAATGAAGAAACAGTTTCACTGTCTAGAGAACTATGGGAATCCACAGATCCTCTACAGATCATTTACTGCACGGTGGGAACTATCACACTGCAAGTCAAATGCAAGACGCGTTGTGAACTGGAGGACTTCCCGCTGCCGGCACCAAACCCCTTCTCGGAGTCCTTTGCGACACTTGGAGCTGTCGATAGAAACCTCGCAGAAACGACGCTGATGTGAGGCACCCTCCCTACCCTCCACAGTAAGCCTTCTGCCCCTCCGATATCCTCAAACCCAATCGCGAAACAGTTTATCCTTGAAGCCCGAATTTCCATGCTGTGTGATGTTTCAGCAGGGCAATCACTATGCCATGCGAGTGCTTCCGCGAGCAAATTGAACGAGCTTTCTGAGGCAAGTGCTTGGAATCGAAAACATTCTGGAAGATCCGATCCCTCCGGGCCTAATGACTCAATCTGCCTCCCTCAGCAAATACTACCTGCCTGTGACAAGCACGAAATGTTCGTTGCATAAGTGGTACAACGGTGACGGCTAAACTAAACCTAGCATGTTGCTTTGCACCGTAAATTTACTGGCCTTTCTGTTTCCGGTACCAGTACTTCTTGCACAGAGCACAAACCTTCTTGTGTGTTTCTGAAAGATGGCTGCGATGAATTACTACTTACTACTTACATATACATATACATACATATAC